AGAAGGTTCAAAAAAACACTTAAAGGAATACTGTACAGTTCATCTCCTTTCCCTTTAATGTAAAATATGCACTCAGAGATTTGAGTTACTGATGTTGACGGATACATCATTCATCACTTGCCATTTTGGGACACGATGGTGAAGACCTAATGTAGTCTATCTCATCTATTTATTTTGACAAAGTAATTGGAACTCTTCAGATAAGAATACTTCATTTCATTTACAACCAGCACAGAAGTGCCAATCCTGAAAAATAAATCTTAAAGGCTTCCACTGACTGCTTTGAATTAGTTAAGTTCATACAAGATATATCAGTCTATTTACAGTAGAAATGAACAGCAAGTTTAAACTTATGTCCCCTGCACTTGTAGATTTTCTGCTACAGAATACTTGGCTGTTTGGAAGTATGCAGAAGCAGCGTGTTTAAACATGCACTGTGTTTGCTGGCAGCTTTCACATTCTTTTCCCATTTGCTGTATTAGTCTAGTCAGTACACTTCTTGTTTGCTACATAATTTCTAAATGATTTTTTTTTCTTCTAGTTCCTGACTTTCTCAGTACTTGAGAATAACTACAGCTGTTTTGGGACTTATGTATTAGAAACCCCTGCTGTATGCTTTGAAGGTCTTTTCAAGCAAACAGAGCTGAAAACAATTTTCCTGTCCATTTATCCATCAGTGACATACACTTAAGTGGCACTGCACCATTTGTAGTTCTAATCATCCTGTAACATTTGTCAAAAGTAAGGATTTAGCTGTAAGGCACCTTTCCAGTATCCTTACTCACTATCTCAAGTAGCAAACAGGTAAGGCATATTCAGTCAGTTATGCTCAGTCCTAGCCCAGGCACCAGGATGCCGTAACGATTTGTTTCACACGCTTCATCTAAATCCTCACTCTCTCTTCCCACGTAAAAACCAGGTTTCTGGTGATAGATGTGGGTTCGGGTGGTTTATCTGTTCCTTTTTAATTTACTGAAACTCGTGTGACTTACTACACCCTTTATTCTGAAAGAGCAAACCGCAGGTCCAGGGTTTGCTTTTTAGATGAATGCTTCAGTTTCATTACGGTCTTTAGGAATTGAGCTCTCATCCTATGTGCATTTCATTGAGAACAAGAGGCTGGGATCCCCCTGACAAGGTCAGGAGTCATCTCTGCAGGGAAGAGAGACTCTTTTTTTCTATTTCACACTCTGCAACAAGTAGGAAAAGTCTGTAATTGAAAAATACGTACTTTATTTTGAACAATGATCTGTATTTAAAAGAACCAATGGTTCTTCTTCATGTCGTTGTTTGAAAAGAAATAGCAGGTATTCTTCCTATGGTACTTTATCTTCCTTAAAAAACAAAAAAAAAAATTACTGGAAAGGATATCAGGGGCCAAAGGCATTTGTTTTCCTACCTCACAAATATTGAAAGATTAAAAAAAAGGTGTATATATCCTAAATATAATTTATTAAAATAGTAGCCCTGTGTTTTTCTTCAGTGATGCTTCTTAATCTATCTGTAAACAACTCGATCACTAAAATTTTTAAGTTATCTTTTTGTTTAAAGGAAGAAAACAGCTCTGCACCTGCCTTATTGGACCTCGCTACAGTATACCTATGTAACTATATATGTCATACAATTGTGCTCCAGTGCATTTATTGATTTTTTTTTTTTAAATAAGATTTTGTAAGAATCCCAGGTCTTTCAAACCCAGGTCTCATTCGTGTTTTACATGTATATATAAAAATATATATGTATAAAACAGTTCAAACTGTGATAACATATAAAGAAGAAGAGTAGCTAAATTGAGTCAATGTCCACCTGTAGGAAGGATTAGGAATTAAGTACAGCATGAAATCCAGTGTGTGAAACTAGACAAATGCTGCATTGTCTCAGTTTAAATTGCTGGTGGTGAAACAGTGCCCCCTGATGTCCAGAGAGCTACTTGGAAATCAGAAAGCTACATTTTTTCCAGATATTCTTGGATGAATGTTTCAACCACCTTCTAAAGACTATAGTTAATAATAAGCAAATTTGAGAACCAATTAAGTCCACTATATCATGCAGAGGATTTAGATTCAGGTAAAGTTCTGTTTCCTTATTGTCACTGTGTTCAGGCATCAACCTTTCCACATTGATATTTGTCCATGATGTTTCCAACTTGAATCCTTGAATCATCCCCATCTCAACTATCCTACCTCAGGCTGCACAATCCTGCAAGGAAAGAAAGGTAAAGTTGCAGACTTTCTCACAGCTTTTTCTCACAACTTCGGTTTCCTCAGAGTCGGAGCCAAGGTTATGCAGCTGGTCTGGTTCAGGCAGAGCCCTGGGTCCTAGGAGGTGGGGGACAGTAAAGTAGGGGTTAGAGAGTCACAATACCTGTTGAATAACTTGATTGTAACAGATTTTTGAGAGCGAAAAGAAATCTTTTAATATTTTGTTGCAGAACCACCAGCTCAAAAAAAAAAAAAATTAGGAATAGGAGAGCTACAGGAAAAAAACACACAACCCTGGAAAGCTCTGTGTGGATAAAGAGCGACATTGTATGCCACTTTTTATTGATAAGCCAAGGAATACAAATGTGAAGGTGTAAAGAATAAGAATGCATGCACTTCACAATTTTCATTGCAGTTTTATGTTTTGCAGTAGGGCAAAAAAAATAACAGAACCTTGTTTCCTAGACTCAATGGTTAGATGGTTATGTGGAAGTTTCTGTAACTTACAATTTCTTTGTTTTCCACAGTTATCAAATGAATGGTCGTTAATTGAAGAGAGCTTTCAGTTGCTTGGATGAAAAGTATTATGAAAAAATAAAGAACAATTAATGCAGGGTAACTCAACCTGACCACATGTATACAAAGAGAGAACCTCAAAGAAACAGATTTTTGCCCAGCTGATGTATTTGGTATGATCTCCGCCCTGCTGCCAAGTTTCCTAATTTCAGCCTATTCCATACAGAGATGTTGTTAGTTTGTACATTTACTGCTTGGTATGTTTTTTCTCTCTCTAGAGTACAGGATCAGAAACTTGATATGACCCTTCCCTGAATATCATAGAATCATAGAATGGTTTGGGTTGGAAGGAACCTTAAAGATCACCTAGTTCCTACCCCCCTGCCATGCACAGGGACACCTTCCACTAGCCCAGGTTTCTCAAAGCCCCATCCAACCCGGCCTTGAACACTTCCAGGGATGGAGTTTGCACAACTTCCCTGGGCAACCTGTGCCAGTGTCTCACCACCCTGCCAGTAAAGAATTTCTTCCTAATATCTAATCTAAATCTGCCCTCTTGCAGTATAAAACCATTACCCCTCATCCTATAGCTACACTCGCTGATAAAGAGTCCCTCTCCATCTTTCCTGTAGCCCCCTTTAAGTACTGGAAGACCACTATAAGGTGTCCCTGGGGCCTTCTCTTCTCCAGTTTCAACAATGCCAACTCTCTCAGTCTGTCTTCAGAGGAGAGGTGCCCCAGCCCTCTGATCATCTTTGTGGCCCTCTGGACTTGCTCCAACAGGTCCACATCCTTCTTATGTTGGGGGCCTCAGAGCTGGACACAGTACTCCAGGTGGGGTCTCACAAAAGCAGAGTAGAGGGGCAGAATCACCTACCTTGACCTGCTGGCCACACTTCTTTCAATGCAGTCCAGGATGTGGTTGGCTTTCTGGGCTGTGAGCACACATTGCTGGCTCATGTTGAGCTCATCCATCAACCCCCCCAAGTCCTTCTCCTCAGGGCTGCTCTCAATCCCTTCATCCCCCCACCTGTATTTGTGCATGAGATTCCCCCAACCCACCTACACAACCCTGCCATCTCCCTCACGTCCTCTGTCTCCGGGGAAGATGTTTTAAGGAAGCTTTCACAGCGCCGTTGGGCAGCTGAGAGAAGTTGGGGCGGAGGGAAGAGCAAGCCCCGCCAAGGCCGCCCAACGGCTGAGGTAAGTCGGGCCGCCGCGGGCGGGCTCCGCTGGAACCGCGCAGCCCAGCGCCCCCAGGCGGCAGGAGAAGGGGAGGTAAGAGTATCCCGCCGCCCGATTGGCTGAGGCGGCTGCCTGGTGCGCTCCGATTGGCTGCGAGAGGCGCCATCTCGAGGTGCGCGGCGGGGGCCATGGTGTGAGGAAAGGCCGCTGAGGAGAGCGGGGCGGGCAGGGGCGGGCCGGCCGGGGCGAGGGGCTGTCCGGGAACTAAAGAGCGTTATCACATCCTTACCTGAGGGGCTTTTCCGTTGTTTATGTGGCAACTAAGTAAAAGCCGGAGAGCCAGGTAGGCTGCTGTGAGCCGTTCTCCGCAACTCTTTTGAGTGCCACCTATATGTATCGCCTATAGTACATCTTCACCACAGCCCTGTCCTCTGTGGAGGGACCTACTGAAGTAAATGCATTTGCTCCTGTCTAAAAATACCTTTCTGCACACTTCATTTGGTATCTTCTTGATTTCTACAGTTGTGAACGCCTCAGGTTTGTTTCCTTTGTTATGCCTTCAAGGTATGGGCTATTTGAGGGATAAGTTTTTATTCCAAATGGCTGTAACCAAATGTTAAAAAAATTCAGAGCTCAAGACTTTAATTTTAATGGTATATGGCTTAATTATGGTTCTGTTGCATTAGTTCTACTCATGTTCTTTTAAAAATACATGATCACAAATTGGAGGGGAGGAATTGCAATTTTTTGGTAGATCTAAGATCTCATAGGGCTATGAGGATCTGACAAACAGCAACGATTTCTGGAAAGGATTTTTTTCCATTTTTCAAAATTTTTAATGGAAAAAGAAAGACTGAAGGCTCCTTCCACTGAAAAAGAGCTTTATCAAATTTGAACTAAATTAAAGGAATCTATGTAGTTGGCTTAGGGCACAAGACTTAGATAATTAGTACTGATACAATTAATTTTCTTATCACTTGACATACGAGCGCTACTGAAACGCTTAATTTGAACAGAAGAAATATAGAAAACTACTGCTCAAACGATTTTTGTAGTTAATTTCTTCTTCTTTTTTAACAGGAACCTTTACTTACCAAAATGAGACACAACCTGGTGTGTCAGACACCTCCCAATGTCACTGTTCATGTAAAATCGAGTGCATCCAGATCACACCAGCAAAAAAATCTTATTAGACTAAAGCGGCCTACTTTTAAAGACCATGAAGAAAAATGTGAAAAAAAGGTTCCTAGTCATAAATATAAATGTCCAAAGGGACCATGTCTAGTTATTCAGCGTCAGGAAATGACAGCTTTCTTTAAATTATTTGGTAGGTTAATAATGATAGGTAGGTTATTAATGTATTGACTGCACAGCAGAATGAAACCGAGGTGGTATGATACTTCCTTTTATGATCATTTCTCTTTCCTATTTTCTTTTCTGTTTCAACAAATACTCATAAAACAATGTACATCTTATTTTACACAAGTCCAAAAGGCTGGACTCCCAGTCTTACAAACGTGTTATTTATTGTGGGAATAAACATTTAGGGGGAGAATTGGAATGGGAAGAAAATCTGAGGAGTTGTAGCATCCTTTTTGAATTTGTGTCTCTTTCATATAAAGTTTTGTATTTATTTAATTTAGTGAAGAGATTAAGTAACAGTGGAAGATTATACTTGGTTTTTACTTGAACCTTGAATATAGGAGTGAATCAGAGAGTTTGTGGTAATCCTATTATAGTACACCTTCACCAACAGTGATGCACTGGCCACAAATAATCAAGCCAGTATTGCCTTATAAAGGCTATTGGGTAATCAAGGTGCAGAAGCCTCAACAGTCTGTGGTTCATCAGAAATAACAGTATGCTATTAGATGGAACCACTTAATGCAGGAAGAAGTTAAATGAATAGAAAAAATACTGGTGATTTTTCACCTTCACTTGCTATTACTGGGAATGAGTGAAATGCAGTCACTAGATTTTCCACCTTACCTTTCTGGTAGTTTGTCTTCTTTTGTCGCTTAAGTTTTTTCATACCTAATCTCTCTCCCCTCAGTTTCTCTGTTCTCTACTGCTGGGTCTAGCTTCTTTCCTTTTATTTGGTTCAATAAAATGACCTAAAATGATCTGTTATTTATTTACAAATACTTTCTAACAAAAACAATTTCGGTGTTTGAAATGCTACAGCTTTCTTTTGTTACAGATGATGATCTTATCCAAGACTTCCTTTGGATGGACTGTTGCTGTAAAATTGCAGACAAGGTAAGTATATTTCCTTCTTAGTTAACAGAACGCATACTGAATGAAAGATCTGCCCTTAGTCACTTTATACTGAATGCAAATACAGACCATAATTTTTTTCCAATGTGTTTGTATGGAAGCTTCAAGAAACTCAGTTTATGCTTTCCTCATTGATAAAAATGATCAAAATATCTTGGTGCAAGATAAATGTGTGAATATTTTAGGAAATTATATACTGAAATAATACATTGATACTTTTACATTGATACTTTGATATATTTTACATTTTAAAACAGTATCTCTTGGCAATGACTTTCGTTTATTTCAAGAGGGCTAACTTCACAATAAATGAGCATACCAGAATCAATTTCTTTGTCGCTCTGTAAGTACTTCTAAATTATCTGGGTTTATTAGCATAAACTTTGCATTATTTTATTCCATTGTTTATGCCACTGATAATTGTGATATATGATGAGACTTCTTTAATGAGTTTGCAGTTGTTTGGTTCCTATATGAAGTATAGAAACATAATCTACATAGTATATATAAATAGTGTAAATTCAACATTATTCCTCTGACAACCACCTGTATGGAACAAGCTTGAGCAGCAGTGAGGGGACATTTCTGTTCGTGTAGTGATACACAGCATGGCATTTTGCCTACCAAACTGTAAATCTGTGAAATTTTTTAAGCGTTACAAGAAATACATGCAGGAAAATACATGGCAACATATAGGTTGCTCACACTTCTGTTATAAGACCCTATTTTATATCTTTGCCAGCCTTTAAGTCATTTGTACTGAAATGTTTCATTATGATACAGACCTCAGAAGTAACTTTTTATTAAAGTCTCTGTCAACATGAGTTGAGTAAACTGTAAAAATGTTGCTAGAGAATTTCTAAGAACTGTTTTGAACAGTTCTAAAATTTCTATACCTTGAAACAGAGGTGCAGTCAAGAATCTGTCTTTACCAAGCCTATATTATCTCTCCATATTTGGCTGTACCTACAGAGTGATTCAGCATTTTCTTTCACAGTGTTATGGTGCTCAGATCACCTTTCTTCCTGACAGCACTTCTCAGCTGCTCTGTTTTGCACACTAGTGTGGGGAGAAAGATGGCTGTTTATTCTCCTGTAAATGATATTGTAGGTAGCATCCACTCAGCACAGAGGAAGACGCTGTTTGACTCCACGCTGAAGGGAGAAAAGCGAGGCCAGAAGAGCGAGAGGATGAGAAAGGGACAAAGGGTCTGGTGAAAATGGGACTAGAAATTATTTGGGGTTAGGAGCAAGTGAGAAAATTGGGGAGGAGACTATAAGTTATAATTTTTTCAGGTATGATTTACAGGAGTTTAGTATCAGGTGGATCCAGAGGAAATATTTTCCTGTTGTCTGAGAAGATGACCCAGAACCAAAAATAGCACGTGGTGAAGGGAGAAATATGGACATGAGGAAAATCATTTAAGGTTTTCATTTATACGTGAAAGTAGACCTGTATTTAGGTGTTTGCTGCTAATTTAATGCGAGCAATGTAAGTTGCCAAGACTAGTTAAAATCCATGAAGTACAAAATGTAAAGTGTTAATAAGATTCGTAAGATTTCATAAACATTTGATAAGATAGTTTTAAGCTTTGTTTAGAGAATCTGACATAAACTGGTCATTTTAGTGCAAGGGTATCTTGCCAGTTTGGAGAAAGCTGTCAGGATGTGTTAGTTCTTGCCTATCTACTAGTTTAGGAGACTCTAGGGTAAAGCAGTCTTTATAATAGCTTAAGTTAAGTTTTTATTTACCCAAAGGACACATATGGAACTTTCTGATTAAGAAAATACTGTACTCCAGAGAGAAGGCTATTGTTAGCGTTTTTTCTCACACTACTAGGAAAAAGAACTACTTCAATGTTATGTTTTTTTATGTTTTTAATGTTAGAAGTCATACTAAGTCATACTAGGTCATACTAAGAAGTCATATGCTTTTAATGTTAGAAGTCATACTAATATAGTGATACAAGATTGAACAACATTTACAGACACAAGCATATATATATTTGAAGGTATCTGGCAAATACAGTTGAAGAAGACGATGAAGAATCAAAGTATGACATTTTCCCATGGGCTTTAGGAAAAGCCTGGAGAAAGCTCTTCCCTGATTTCTTAAAGTTAAGAGATCAACTATGGAGTAGAATTGACTACAGGGCTATTGTAAGCAGACGCTGCTGTGAAGAGGTAGGGAGGGGTTTAATATTGTAGATGCTGAAACTACAACAATTAATACCAGCTGACAATCTAGCTCTATAGAAATAATCTCTTCCTTTAAGTGCATAGTCAAGCTTTGGGAAAGAAAAGATGCAGCTGAAATGTAATAGTCCATTTACCTGCCATTAATTTTTTTTCTTCTGCATTTAAAATACATTCTTTAAAACAATGCTTTTAAGGTAAATTAGAATATTTTACATTGCACTACCGCTAGACGTTAAGTTTTTATTGCCTGGAATCTTTCCGCTTTATGCAAATGTTTTTATTAAAATTTACCATAAGTTGTTTCACTTAATTCCCTTCAGAAATAATTTTGTTTGTGTGTATGTTTGCTTTACAAATTATAAGTTTGTACACAAGTAAAACCTTCAAATAAAAATCCCAGCACCTCAGGGGAAATTTTAATCCCTTCAAAATTGATAATATAACTTCAATTGACTTCTTAAGGTAAAGGTTTTTCACTGCATCTGAAAAAAAAAACTCATAATGTCACACTTTTAACATTCTCTACTATTAATACAGTGTTACAACCTACAGTTTTCAAACATATCAGGAGGGAAAAAGACATTCTTCACTTTTCAGGTGGAATGTATCTGTTTGGAAAAGCCCTGTCATGTTCTAAGAACATAATGTTTACTACAGCTGGTGGAAAAGAAAATCTCATTTACTGTAGAACCCCATCTCTAGGGTTGGAATTAGATGCTTATGGGAAAAGTGCAAGGAACAAGGGAAGTGTGGAATGCTTTTCCCAGCATACCCTCCCAGCTTCCAACAGTCACCAGTTCAGTGACCTTGTGAACCAGAAGGTCCATCTAATTTATATTTAGTAGTTAGTAAAAGACACCATCTTCAGTCCAACACACAAAGCACGAGCTGGAATTTGTTATGATTCACATGAATATACAAAGCTGTAAACTGGTGGGTTTCCACATCTGAGTCAGAACTGGTTCACTTACTCGTACCTAAAGTAGCAAACTTTCTAGTGAGACAGAAGTAGACAGCTAATAGATGATACGCATTTCAGCTATGTAGTATTAATTCTCTGCCATACATGAATTGGATCCCTTGTTTTCAGCTGTATGTTTTCCCATTATTTTTATGGTTTCTGATATAAAAGCTGTTCCCATAGGTGATGGCTATTGCTCCAACACATTACGCATGGCAGCGAGAACGTTCTGTGCACCACAGCGGAGCTGTGAGAAACTACAATGAAGTACAGCTGCCCCGAGGACCTAGTGTTACTCCTACCGACTGCTTGCTTTGTGGTAAGAAAGGAAGATTTGTACGACTAGGATTATCATCATCTTCCTCCTCATCTACTGGCACTTTGGAGATGATGGAATTACATTCATCCCAGAATTTGAAGGACACCTTTCCAACTGAAAAAATGCTTGTTGACTCTCCTTTTTATTATGCCCAAGGTATGGTTTAATATTGCAAATAATTTTCAATTAGTTTAGGCAACTGAGGCCATATTTGCCCTTCAGACTACTGTAGGGACTACTGTGTCCTTCTTGGTATGACAAGACATGATCTCTCTGAGCATATGTCGCTGATACAAATGCAGTTTCCTTGGCAGAACTGTGCTTTTACTGCCATTGTTTCATTTTCATTTTCACATCTTGCCTCTTGACTTCCCGGGAAGTACCAACTGCTTTATATTCTGAGTCTCTTCAAATTACTTTCATCTACTAAAGTAGATTTGGGATGCATTCCAGTCTATTTAGACATTTATTACTATTCTTGCATTATAATTTAAATTGAGAATCCTATTTTAAACACTTAGGATTGGCTAGAAGAAACAGTAAAATTACTGTTGTGTATCATATGAATTAGAGTGCTCTTGTTGAATGCTGTTTTTAGAAAGGGCAGACTGCTCAGTTGTTGTCATCGGTTTGGACATATGTTAAATCACAATTCACATTTTCCTTTAAGGGTATCTCAATTGTTGATGGAGTTTACACAAGATTTCTTTTTAAGACTGGGGTACAAGTAGAAAACAGTACAAGAGTTTATTGTGAAAATTGTTTTATGTAGTTGAGTCTTTGCACGTTCATCTACTCAAAATAGTGCTCTGAGCCTTTGTATGAGAAGCCTCCATTACATACAGCAGTCATGGGGCAAATGCTCATTGTTCAATTTATTATTATGAGTGGAACACACCCGAGATGTAAACTTCCTGGGGGAGCTGTAAAAGGCCTCAGTTCTGCAAAGATACTTTCATGTGCTTAGCCACTGCAGAGTTCTTAGCGTACTTATTTAATACATGGTTACAGTTATTTATAGCTCTATTTTTTATTTGCATATGCTCTCACTAATATCCAAATTTTCACTATTATAGTAGGATTGTGCTTTTGACAGCTTCAGCACAACTGTTATTCTCAAGGGATACCTCAACTTGGAAAAATTTGGCATTTGAATCTTGCTTCAGATACAGAACAAGTCAGGAGTCTACAAGACATCATTTAATAAATATAAGGTGTTAAACCACCACATGCATACACTGAGACTTACACCAAGACCCTAAAAGACTTAACTTTAAATCTTTTTTTTACCTGAGAGATCTTGCTTGTCGTATCTGACAGAGGTCAGAAAAAAATGTATGTATTTTGACTGTTGGAAAATGCTTTATGTATAGTAAAGTTCACAAATAACCATGCAACTTTCAGCATGGATGCTGGAAGTGAACCAAAGCTATACCTATAAAAAACTGGTCTTTTCCTTGAAATAAGCACAGCTTTATCAAGAGAACAAAGTCAGTGAATTTGTTTCTCTTAGTTGTGCTTGAAGAACATTATTCTTAAAGAAACTCTCACCACCAGTTGGTAGCTAGTGAAGTCAGAAGCTGCTTCACTTGCATTTCAAAGGACAGACTTGGAGCCATTATTTTCTTACTACATTTTTTTTTTCTCCTTATTTCTGGTAGACTGTCAGAGCCTGTCCAGCAAAAGGAGACGAGGTAGCACCTTCAACCCAGACAAATCCATGGATTGGTTTACAAGCTATGAAGAGTGAAATATACCCAATGAGGCAGAAACAGCTATTGTGCTTTGCAGAACAATCTGTGTTGCATCTCAACACTATTACCTGATGATTCTATTAAAACTTTTCCCTTTGGACAGTAGGTGGGATTTCAAAGTTTATAGGCAGTAGAAATCAAAGCAGTCATTAGTTAAAAGTTACACAACTTGCAAAATTTAGCAGCTATATTGTAACATTTTATTTTATTTTGATACAATACTCAAATTAGCAGCTAACAGCAGCATCAAGAAAGCGGTGGTCGAAACTTTCTCAGCTTGGTAAGGAATGCTAATTAAAAAACAAAACAAGTTACTACTTCAGTATTTGAATATACAGTGATTACTTTATTATTATAAGTTTTGTGATTTCATGATATGGTGACATGTAGAATGATAATACAAAAAAAAATAGTATTTATTAAAATAAAAATATCCCTAAACATTTAAGATAAAAAACCATTTTCCAAGTGTCTCACCTGAATGAGCTTCCTGCCAGAAAGATGGTCGAGCAACATAAGGCACCGAGCAGTATGTTTCAGCATCATCAGAAAGTGATTCTGTGAAAAGAGGTTTTTTTTTAATTCTTTCCAACAAGCTTAAAACATACACACAGCCTAGAGTTGCCAATGTGCTTTGTTTATTTTTCCTTGACATGGTTTCATTTTCTTTTTGTTTCTGTTTAAGTGCTTTGTTGTCACCTGTCAGTACATTCGGACCTCTTTGTTCTCCTATAGGTTTTGCAAATCCATACCAGTATGAGGCATCTTATTTGCCAGAACAGCAGGATTACAAAACAGAGCACACTGGTAACATTTCTTCTGTGGAATCCTTAAGCCCATCAGGGTCCTCTAAAGCAGCAACACAACAAGTATAGAGGACTGAATATTATTTAAAAATAAAAATTTAAAAACAGCATTAGAACCACAGTCATGCTTTATTTGCAGATTGCAATTTATTTTCTATTTAGTCTAGATTTTTAATAAGATACTTAAATAACCATTAATATATCCTTTTTCAAACCTGACAAGGTATAGGCTGTCCAGAAGCTTGTCTATTCTTCACCATAATCTCAGCTGACCTAAGAAAAATACTGCCTCTTCCTACAAACTTTGCCTTCATTATATCCTTGGAGGATCAAATTGCAGTAACAGGATCTCTCATCAGCAATAATGTTCTTACCATTGTATTCACTTTCTTTAAGAACCACTTGATCCTGAGTGTGGATTTCTTCATACTCCTTTTGAGGTGGTTCTTCAATATTTTCTTGAGTTTCCACCATTTGGCTTGATTTGCAATTCTTGATTTTAGCAGGGAGTACCATCCAATTTCTATGAGTTACCTCAATGATTCTTTCACACAAAAAAGGGAGCCTGCAGGTCCGTATTTTGTCGAGAAGGTCAATAACCTGTGTGATGCTTTTGAAGAAATGCAAAGGATAAGGTAGTATTTCGAAAACACAAATCATACACTGTTAGTCTCAATTCTACTGCCTTTGTCACATTCTTTACCTTTGAGGTTACACGAGTCCTTCAACTTTAAGGCAAAGGAGCTAGCAACCTGACTACTGAATGGGAAAACAGCGCAGTTATATTGAGGATGTCATTATTAAGCGCAAATTTCCACTGACCATAATGAGACCATTCCCAAAGTAAAGGTCAAAGAATTTGGACAAATGTCATTTATACTGAGTGCAACTCCCTAAAAAAATTACACCAGGGGGTGTGTGCAGAAATCTTGTTAAACATTTAAAATACACATCCAGCATTAATGAAAAGATGTTTGGTTAGTTTTGTAACAATGTTAGGTGATGCCTGAATAAATGTGTAAGTGCCAGAAGTAAATACTTACTTTGCTAAATACACAGCGCACACACCACCCTGTTTCAGACTTGGGTGCACAACAGGCAGAGCAGACTGAGGGTTAAGCATATCCAGAACTATCTGCAAGAGAAAGATACATACATTTTACCAGTAAATATTAATATATCTATCATTTTTTTCAATGAAAAAACAATGTTTATCTGTGGAAAATGAATGCATACAACAGCAGCATGTAATCACAAACCAGTTGCATTATTGCCCCTCCAAACCTTAGAGAAACCCGAGGTCCACACATTTACAAAGTCCTTGCTGCTTCCAAATGAATTTCTATTAAAACAGTAAGTAGCATTTCACCAACATAACAGTCCTGTGTTAATGTTAAACTGCCTACTAATTAAATTCCATAATGTTGACATTAATAATAACTTTTGGAAGACTACATTTACTAGCACCTTTGGATATCCAGTTTACAAATGTTAAAAAAATAAAAATGTTCAAGTGCATCTTTATCATGAAAAGATCACACTACAGTCTCAATGTCTAACTTGCTGTTTGTTTTAAGAATTAGAAAACATCTGTCCTTGGCAATTTATCCATCTTCTGCTAGAAACCTATTCAAACTAAAACAACAGGATATGCAATATCTGATCCTTCCTGTAGATTGTTACTTTTAAAGTTTTATAAAAATGGTATATTTTATTTCTTTGCTCAAACAGTTTAACACAATTGTTGTTTGCTTAAAGTGTTAATGTAAATAGTTTGTCTGCTTTACATGGAAAAGTGTATAAAATCTAGCTGTTTTCCCCAGCACACCTCCCTTTACAAAATCTGTATATAAAAAGCAGGACAGGGGAGCAAGCAACAGCGTTCCTCACTCTAACTGGGGTCTTAGTTACACTGGGCGTTCTATATAGCTGATAGATAGCAAAGTGTTGACATATTTGTATTTTCAATAAGCTTATGTATTTTTCTTAAATGTAATGTTTGAAATACATGCCTTAGATACTTTCTTGTATTTTTGAGAAATGGATATTTTTGTAAGTTTGTCTCTGATTACAAGACAGCAGTGATTAATTGTAATATTTCTGTACCACAGCCATACTGCTCTTTCATTTGGGAACACGCAGCTGAAACCTTGAAAATATTTGTAATCTGACAAAAAAAGTCACAGCATTTCTTTCATTGATGAAGATCCGATTGTTTTTTCTCCTGTTAAGCTAGATATGGGAATCCTGTTGAGAGTGTGAGCACTAGGGGTTTAATTTATGGAGAAAAGATAAATGTCAAATGCGGATATTTTGAACTTACTGCATCAAGTGCTATAGATTCCATATCCGCAGCAGCTGTGGAAATGTCTTTAAGAATGAAATCCACATTATCTGGCCACTCTTCCATATGTCCTATTTCCCATGCAGCACGCCACTGCCGGTAATTCTTCTTAGCTAAATTATGATGATCATCTCTGATTTCATAACTTATAACACGTCCTTTGGGCCCAACTGAAAACAAACAAAAGGCACTAGACTTACCACTCTTCCCCCATGTAATAAAGAATTTAGAAAAAAGTAGTGTAGTAAATAACAGAAGTACACGTTTACATCTCCACTTCAGAAAAAAAGTCACATATGAAACAATCAATTACAATTTATTTTTTCTTTACATTTAAAACAATTAGATGCAGATAGTGCTGGGCTAGTTCTTTTACAAACTAAAATCCATCAATCCACAGATGAATTAAAGCACAGTTATAGTAATACAAACTGTTCCTGAGATGTCCTCCCAAAGTAACTCCCGCCGCAACAGGCAACTTGAGCATCTGTGGCCCTATCAATCTATGATTCTTCTGCTACAGCTACCAGAGGTACCAACCGAGAAAGCTGCAATGTTGGTCACTACTCACAGCTGCTGTAAAGCTGACAGACAGTGACTGCTTCTGTTGTTCATAAGATTTGAGACTGCTGGTTTTAAATTTTGACAATTCTTGTTTTTACAAAGATTTGCTGTTTTCCATGCATGGTTCTTTCTCCACCTGTCCCTTCTTAGGGTCGGGGGAAAAGCTAAGAAAACCCCCACACCTGCTCACTGATCTCAGCCCCATAAACAAGTTTGCAAGCGTACTCTCTTGGTTTACACAGGCTTGTGTTGTTTTCCTGTTACTGTTTGTAACTGTAATAAATTATTTTATTACTCATTTTAAGTATAAATTTAATACCCTGAAATTTACTATACGAGTCCAATACACAATGTTCTTCGTAAAGTATATCTAGGGACAGACAGCAGCATGTGCATTGCTGTATTACTCTATCCTTGTATTACTCTTAATTTCTCAAACCTCTCCTCCCATTAGCTTCTTCTCCTTGGTACTTTTTAATGAGGAAGGACAGCTTTCAGCAATCAGCAGCTCAGCCCGTGAGGTTCTGTGACTTTTTAAGCCATTTTAGGTCGAGTCACCAGGCTCCTTCCCTCACCTGTGGGTTCCCACTGTGAATCCATTCAGAAAACTGAACAGAAGAAGGGATGGGTTTCTCGGCCATCTCTCCCTGATCTAGCTCACCCTGGATCAGACAGAGGCCAGAGCCAACACATAAGGACGGAGGGTTGCAGCAGTGTCGCCTTTGATCATCTTAAACAGTTGTAGAATCGCAGCACCAACTCCTTATTACTCAAGATTATCAGTTTGGAACTACTAGGTCAGTCCTATTCCTTCCTCTCCTCACTCCAAAAATTTCCTACATTTTGAAACTGACTTCTGGAAAAAAAAAGGACAACTAGTTAAAATAGCTAGGTAAAACTCTTCATTATTGTGAAGCTGCAGTCTATCAAGTTTGCATACATATTTTCCAGTTCTCAAAAATACTTAAGTCGTGGCAAATGTCACATGCTTAACACAGTCTTAACTTTGTCCTGTTCCACATCAGTAGTTTCTGGGAAAGATTAAAGAAGGAACAGAAAGCAAAACATAAACTGAGAGTAATACAAAGAGAGGAGATGAATAAAATCTGTTGACTCAATGAGAATTTTGGAAATCAAATACTTCAGTGGAGCTTGGTAATGTGTCCACCAGATGTAAATTCCAGCATTTACCTGTGTAGCAACTATTTTTCTTGCTGGGTATCATTCTGTTGGCAAAATTAGCCACCATGAGGAAAGAACAAATTTATTTCTGGGTCAGCAC